AACAGATAATGCTGCACAGAATGAAGCATTGTCCATCCTTTCAATGTTATAAAGGTGCAATCTCTTCAAAAGAGAACTTCAAACATAGAGAAGAAAAAAGATTAGCACAATATACTTAGCAGTACAAGGCATAAAATATCCCAGTGGTGTGTTGGAGAATCCACCCCCATGATCCGGTTTTAAAAACACTAATCCACACCAAATATATTGCTTTTAAACTCATCAGATGAGTTCCAAAGCTTCCATATAGCAATTCAAATAAGGATCATACCTGACATTCAAATCATACATACGTAAACTATATAGATAATGAACTAAATAATAAAAGCAAACATGCACAATATGGATCATGCAGTGTCCTTTATCATACAAATCCCACCCCTATCCTTCTAACTGTAATACATTAACTTGAATGCATATCTGATAAAGTCCACATACCACAATTGCCAAGTTACAACAATGCACAAAAGGTAAAAGAAATCTTACATCAAAAAATTATCAATAACAAAAGGACTATAAGAACATAATTCCAGGTGAGATAGCAATTTAAATAGGGAGTATCAACGCCAAACTCCCATGGGAACTCTAAAAGATAAATTAAACTTCAATGAGCAATATCCCAATCAAATTAATCATAGTGCATACAACCTACAATATGATCTAGGTGGTTTATGGTCATGTCCCTGAGTCATGTCCCTGACAGGCTCAGTTAGTCTTTTGCAAAACAAAAAGCATGCAGCTAATTAGAAAGGCATGCCTCGTATCGATTGAAATTAGAGTCTGGACCATTGTAAAACTAAAATAGAGGCTCTCAATTGCTATTTTCAAATGTCCACTCGTAGTTTGGTCTTTATATTGAGTCCAATATGTGCCGATACATCCGCAACAGAATAGTACGGTCTGCGTAGTATATATTGCAAGAACAAATCCAAAAGCTCTAAACCACTCAATTAAAAAGGCATGGCTTCAAAATCATTAAACCTCAAGCACAAAATAGATATGAAACCTAATAGAAGCAAAAGAATAAATAAAACCAAGATATAAAAATTTGCACAACACTAGTCTTTTAATTCCAAGGATAAAGGAAAACTCGTATATATTAGACACACAAATATATAAAACATTCAGATTAAATGAAAGGGATTTCAATTGTAAGGAATGTAATTGAACAATTGTGAGGAAAAAACTGGATCCCGGTTACTACTTATCAGCAATGAAATGGAATTATAAACAAATTTGGATGAGTAAAACTGAATCCACTAACAACTTCAAATCTTAGCACATGAGACACACAAATGTCCAGCACAAGAACTTTTCAAAATTTTAAAGTCAAGCTACATGTGTTTTATTGATGATGAAAAGTTTTATCAGGATTCCAAGCCACACAATGGCAAAATATACATATGGGCTTCAGAATAAAGAAACATTCCAGAAAGCCCTTTCTTTCTCATTACCCTTTCTCATGAATGGGACACACGCATGAAGAGAGAGAAGTTTCCTTTCAATAGAAAAAGAAAGGTCAGCTTCTATTCCCTGTATAGTGCCTAGAAAATAAAGGCCTTACACTGAGACAATATCCCTCCTCATCTCTCTCAACAAGAGAATGGAAAAAAAAATGCAACCCACTTTAGCATTTAGTATCTTCACCCACTCCCATTATTCAGAATAATAACTATAATTTAGCCATGTAAAACCTATGTAAATCTTACTTGTTTCCCATACATATGAGTCCCCTTAATAATTATTCAGTACACAAATACCTACAGTGTTAAGTAGATCAATTCTACATAAAGAATGAGAGAGAAATGCAGAACATATCTGATGCCATTAAGGAAGTTCCATACCTCTACAAAATTCTTGTTTAAATGAAAAACACAAGATATTACCCTTGTTAGATTCAGAAGGAGAACATAAGACATAGAAACCAAGATTAAAAAATAGATGAATCTATGAAAAATATCAAAAAACAATTTTACATGAAATAAATTGACAAAAATACCCCCAAAATTCTTCGGGGGCTATTTTGGTCAATTTGTTTTATGTTATTTTTTTATATATATTTTTATTAGGTGTGCCTTGATGAGAAGAACGCACGTCTAAAATTTCAAGTTATTTTGATTTGTAAAAACAAATTAAAATTCAAATACTATTAGATATCCGTGAGCATCAGATCGGCCACCGAATGGCCAAGATTCAATCTGGGCCACTCGCTATGGGCGTACAACAATGATTTATATATATATATATATATATATATATATATGGGGCACTTTGAAAAGTTAAGACTTTCGTAATTATCTAAAAATTTTACTATTTCTCTTTTTTTTCTTAGGTAGTTCAAATACTGCACTTTCAAAGCACTCAAACACACTTTGTGTTTTGGGCACTTCAAAACTCAAACTTTCAAATTGGATAAACAAAAAATGAAAAGAATCCAAAATTTTGGACCTCTTGGCATAGTGACCATTCATTCTTTAATTCTGAAACTTTGTCCAAATTTCCTAAAGCCAAAAGATATAATGTTCGTTTGCTCCCTAGGGAATAACACATGCTAGGAATACTTTTTAGATCTCCAAGTTTTGGGGATTTAATATCTACAACCCATAAACTAATTTCAATAAAAAAATTTATAATAGACTCTATGTACTAGACAAAAAAAATTCCTCGAGATTTAATAAAAGACTATCTAATTTTTTAAGAGCTAGATCTAAGTATCGTAAAAATCCAAATTCAAATTTTTTCTTTTGAAAATAATCGTCTAGTAGTTCTTATGTGGTTCCCAAGACCTTAGACTAAAATATTCTGTCCAAATAGGTGTCATGTGCGAGGGATTAGATATATAATATCCTCTCGCAGGAGCATAGCATACGGGCTCTTTCCTATAAACTTGTGTGCACGACACACGCTAGATACAAAGCAAGAGTAAAATCTCGTCATAGTATGCAAGATTTTGGCTTGTATATAGTGTTAATTTGGCATTCATTGTCAGATCAATGCATTTGTGAACCAATTAACCTCTTGAGCTAGATAGGAAACATTGCTTAGTCTGTATGGATGAAAAGTCACACTGAACCATGTCATTTGTTTATATTTATTAATTTAAAGGATCTAAAGAATTAACGAGTCCAATCAAAACCGGCCATGATAGCTCGTTAATGTAGGTGATAGGTTCTGCGCACCCTCTTAGTTTTTTCTTTATTAGCACCGGGTCATAGTGAGATTTCATTTAAAAGTATTCCTGTCAAGTGAGTGAGACAATATGTTTTGGTAAGATATAGAATCACCATAAAATTTCCTTTATTTTTTTGTTCATTATTACTATATCCAAAATTACGCAGGGTAAACTTCCGGTACTTCCACCTTGTGTTCCCTCTTGATGGACAGCAGAGATGAACCGTCGATTAGATTATATTTACACGGGAAAAAAAAGTTTACCCGGTGTCTATCATCACCAAATTACCAGAGACACCCCTTTGGCGTGGTGTACCATAAACCATGTGCCAAATGCATGTTATGCTTTCCCAAAAGCTAACCGAGTGTTTCAAAAATCTAAGGTTCCTGATTTGGATTATCGATTCCGGTGAGGTTTCAATCATGACCTTACAAAAATATCGGATGGTATGGATTCTGGCACAGTTCGCTCTCTAAAGCACCCTTTTGTGCATATATTTTCCCTTTTAATTACGGTTATCTAATGTTTTTTGAGGTCCCCTAAATTCCTATCCTCTAATCCCTTATGTCAATTTTTATTTGGATCATGTAGATTGGATACCTTTTTAAAAGATATAAATTCATATCTGATGTATACTTTAATTAATCTCCCTAATAATTCGACAATTCTGAACTCCATTGAATCAGTTTAGGTCTTTGACACGTAGCTACAAATATAAGAATGGATACCACCACGGTGTGGTAACTAGGTGTGGGGAGGCTAACACCACGACCCCAACCCCTTTCCTGCTACTCATTGTTTGTTGTTTTCCTTTGAATCGTGTATATTGGTAAAAGTCGTTTAACTGTCTAATGGAATTAGTGTAAATAACTCATTTCTTAATAACAAATTAGTTTAAATCTCAACCCTAAGTGCTGATCATTGATAGATAAGGACGGAAATAAAAAATTAGTTTAAATCTCAACCCCAAGTGCTGATCATTGATATATAAGGACGGAAATAAAAAATCAACTGTCAGTTTTTTATTCTTTAAGAACCCTACTCTATCCGCCAACTCCATTAATACAAACAAATAAAGTAAATAAATAATAAACTACTGTTTTCGAACGCAGCACGGATCAAGGTCCCTCACATTCGTATTTATTGATGTCTATTACTTCATCGTGAAACGCGTGGTCACATACAAATACGTGTACCAAAATTTTATTCAATTTAGATCTTTGAAAACGTTGTTCATAATTTTTCATTTTGGTAAAACCTTTTTTGTTTGGGAAAAGTTTATACAGGGCCGAGGCTCTAAACAATCAAATTTGAGCCTATTGTTATAATGTACTTTTTTTTTCAATTCATACGTAAATTTCTCTAGAAAATTTAAAGCTTCAAAAATAGTACAGATGAAACAGATCTATGAAAACTTGAAGATTTTGAAAATTGACAATCTCAAAATGCTTTATAAGATGCATTATTTCCAAAACTTAAAATTCATTTTTTCCTCATGTCCGTACATCTTGATGTCGAGATGATCAATTCGAGGATATTTGAGCATCAAAACAACCTCTTCTAGTTAAATTTTTGATGTGGGCTCTATTTGATTATTTAGAGCCTCGACTATATTTGAACTTTTTCCTTTTTTTTATACACAAAAAAAAGAAGCAGATTTTTTACATTCTTTATTATTTACTAGATGAGCTAAGAATCTCATTCGAAATCGTGATCGCGAGAACCCAAATTTAGGGAAGAAAAAACTAAATAAATTATTTTACTGTATTATTTATCTCTAGATGCCAAATGTTTCCATTTGCCCATTAGAATGCATACCAAATGACTATTAAGGCCCTTGATCTTGTCTTATAAATCAAATGCCCCCTTTCTACAAAAATCGTAAACATCCTTAGATCAAAGATGGGATCTCAGGTGGCTGTTAAATCCCACGCCTTATGCATCCCCTTCACTGCACAAGGGCACATAAACCCTATGATGCAGCTTGCTAGGATCCTGCATTCCAAAGGCTTTTACATAACATTTGTCAACTCTGAGTTCAACCAAGATCTGATTACGGAAGCGAATGGTCACGTTCCAGCCACCGGATTCGACGATTTTCGGCTAGAAACGATACCCGATGGACTACCTCTGAGTCATGGAAGGACCACAAATGTGCTTGAGCTTTGTGAGTCCACTAGGAAGAACATGAAGGCTCCCTTTGGGGAACTCATGACTAGGCTCAAGTGTAGTCCAGGTGTGCCTGGTGTGACTTGTGTGATCTCTGATGGAGTTTTGAACTTCACTCAAGAGGTTGCTGAGGAGTTTGGGGTCCCAAGGGTGACCTTTCGGACCACGAGTGCTTGTGGATATTGGGGTTACCTTCAGATTCCTGAGCTCATAGAGAGAGGATACACACCCCTCAAAGGTATGTTGCCTGTAGATAATGTCTTTTAGGTAGGCATCTAGTTTAGATGTAACTTAAGGGTTTGATTTTGTTTTATGGGCTCATCTAGGGATAGAAACACTAACTAGAGGTCTGCAACCCTCCCATTGTTAGAAAAAGAGCCTGGGCTTAATTAGTTAGCGCTTGACAATTTGCAATGCTATGTCCTACGCTCAATCTCTACCATTGGTAGGGGTCCTCTCCCCACTTACTCACAAAAATAAAAATGGGAAAATTTCTTCATAGATCATATTTTTAAGTGTTATTTTTTCGTAAACCTAAGGTTTCAAAACCTATCTAGTTGTATAAATATTCTATTTATTATATCTTCAAACCCCCGAACCATTCTCTCTCCATGTCTCTCTCTACAACCTCCCAAACCACTCTCTCTCTATATTCCCCCAACTCTCTCCCCCTCCCCCATATCTGTCTCCCTGTTGTCCCAATTTTCTCTCTCTCCTCCCCTTTGTCTCTCTCTTTATTCTCCCAACTTTCTCTCTCTTTCCGTGAGAGAAGCACATGAAGATAGAGAAAGAAGAGAGAGTCAGGCTTTTTAGAGATGTCTTTTTCAAATTTGTTTGGGTTAAAAAGTTAAGATAAAAATAAGTACACTTAGTTTAGGGGGTTAGAAGAAATAAAAGATGAAATCTCTCTATTGTAAGATAAGTTTGGAAAATTTGGGTCTATGAATAAATAAAATTAAAAACTTGGATCTATAAAGATATTTTCCCAATAAAAAAAGGTTCTCGCATTGCTCAGCTCCCTCTCTCCTTCTCTCTCTCTAGGCAAATGCGCATAATTTTGTGTTGTCCGTAAAGTGATTCTATTCCTCGCTTCCGTGTGCGCTAGAATTACCAAAACGAGTAGCCAAAAGATGTTCTGCTCCCGCAGGTGTATAGTATATATTTACTCACTTGAGTACAACACATGTTTGGAATACCTTTTAGATCTCAGATTTTGGGTATGTAAACAAAACCAATAAACTAATCTCAAAAACAAAAATAAACTCTCTATGTACCAAAAACAAATCCCTCGAGATTGAATAGAGACGGTACTCTTTTCGAAATGCTAGACTTTTTTTTTTTTGGGTAATTCAATTGGATTACATACTCCTACTTGTTTCGGAAAGAATCAAATATTTTGAAGTGTTGGTCAAATTGGAGGTCGTGACCTTTAACTGTGTCGTATCTCACGTGCTACTACCTCCATGACCCTAGCCCCATTATCTGAAGCGTTTGATCTAAGTGTCAAAAAATTTAAAATTAAATTTTTTTACTTTTGAAAATAATTATCTAGTAGTTCTTATATGGCTTCAAAATTTTAGATTAAAAATAATCTTTCTAAATAGTTGTTTTTGCGACAGAGATAACCCATAGTATGCCCCTGCAGGAGCATAATATACATGCTCGATTAAATTATATCCTCAAGTTAGAGGATAACCTACATTCACTCCTATTAAAGAACTATCTTGGAGTCTTTGGGTGGATAACTTATGTATCATGTATCATGTAACCGACCTTAATTGATTAAAAAAATGCTCTGATGATGATGATGATGAACCAATGCATTGTGTATAAAAACAAATAAAAATAGGGTACCAATATTGAAAGAGACCATCCAATGACATGTAAAAATTGTAATTGTACTTTTCATTCAGTTAATTAGAGAAAGAAAAAGAACATGGAATTGAATATGCGACACACATAAAGTTGCATGGTACAATTTGGGTTTACTCATGGTTTGTTAGTGGATTATTCGCACAGTATGATATCACTGCCAAAATGGAAGACAAAACGGGGCGTTATCTTTTACCCACCAGGTTAGGGATAAAAAGGTGGAGTCATTTATATCAACTTCTCTTTACATCAATTATGTTTACAAATTTGATTTTGTAGTAGCACTTAGCCACAGGATCTTCGTGGTTCTCATGAAGATTTTGAAGGCAGAAAACGGAAAGGAGAAAAAATAATTTTTTTGAAGGATGACAAAATGAGCCCTTTCATTCTAGTTAAAGAAAGAAATAAAGGCTCAAAGAATATGTTTAAGGGAAAACTTTCTATGTGACCCCACTCACATATAACTTACATGTGATCCCACTTCTTAGCCATTTGATTTGAATGTAAGGCTAAGATTGCTCATATCACAATCTCTCTCTCTCTCCATCTTGTAAATTTCCAAATCTTTTTATTTTTTTGTAGTTATTAAACACTTATCAATTATGAGTTTCTATCATTTATCAATATCTTCCATGTTTACATTGATATGATGCTAGTAGACCAAAGGATCTGGGGTCACTTAAAAATGTTTCCTAGGGTCACTTAAAAATGTTTCCTATCGACATAAACAAATTTGTATTTTTTAGAAATGCATTCTATTTTGCAAACTAACACCAAAAATGTAATGAAGCATGATTTCTTATCCATAATTTCTATTTTTTTATGCTAAATTGGCCTATTAATAAATCAGAGGGCACGCATTAACATTCTGTGCTAAAGTTAAAAGCACTTGAAAGAGCGAGATGGGTTAGAAAATTCACATAAAATGGACTTGTACTCTAATTTACAATTGAGTAAAATTATTCTCCATGAGTTGAACTTTCATAAATTAAGTTTTGAAGTTAAGGCACTTTAGTTTGCAAAAAGGATCTTAATCAACCGTACATTGGATTCTGTTTGAAGGTTGCTTTAGTTTTGAATTTTTGATTGTGTGAGTGCAGATTTAAGCTGCCTTGCAGAAGGGTACTTGGAAACCATTTTAGACTGGGTTCCAGGAATGCCCAATGTTTATCTCAAGGACATGACAGCTTTTACTAGAACCACTGATCCAGATGACTTCCTCCTTAACTACACCAAAACAGAATCTCAGATGGCACTGAGGACTTCAGCCCTCATTCTCAATACATTTGATGATTTGGAGAAAGATGTTGTTGAAGCGATGAGATCTAGAATCCCTTGCCTACTTTACACAATTGGTCCTCTTCTAACCTTTAGCGAACACGAATCCAAGGAAGAGGATAAGTCCATTCCGACAACTTTGTTGAAAGAAGAGACTGAGTGCTTAACTTGGCTTGATAAACAACAATTTAAGTCGGTTCTATATGTAGCCTTGCAATGCTAACACCTAATCAAATCAACGAGTTTGCTTGGTGACTTGCAAATAGCCATAAGCCCTTCAAATGGATCATGCGTACAGATATTGTAATGGGTGACGCCCGCTATTTTGAGCCAAGAGTTCATGGATAAAATTAAGGGCAGGGGGTTGATCGCAAATTGGTGCGACCAAGAACACGTGCTCTCACACGCTTCAGTGGGTGGGTTTTTGACGCACAGTGGTTGGAATTCCATGCTCGAGGCCATCTGCAATGGAGTGCTTGTCATATGTTGGCCATTTTTCGCAGAGCAACATACCAATTGTAGGTACGCCTGTATTGAGTGGGGTTTTGGCATGGAGATAGACAACAATGTCAATGTCAAGAGGGATACAGTGGAGGCCGAATTGAGGGAGTTGATGGAAGGGATGAAGGGAACGGAGTTGAGGGCCAAAATAATGAAGTGGAAACAGGTAGCAGAGAAGGCTATCAAACCAAGAGGCTCCTCTTATGAGAATCTTGATGCTTTAGTGAAGGAAGTCCTTCTTAAGAATTATGAGAACAATTAGATATTAAATATTTTTCATACCATTTTATCCTATGCTCTGTATTAGGAATAGAGCAACATATGCAGTTGTGACCAAGTTTCTATAATACGTTTATGTGATTGAAGCTTTTGTGCCGATTAAGTTTTGCCATCGTTACAAGCGCATGACTGGATTCAAGCTGATCTTTATGAAGTTTATTCCATTTATGTTAGATTGTTTAGTTGTGGTCAGAATTACATGACCTTGTCATGGGCTTATTTGTTTCCCTAAAAAAGTGTGTAGTCAATCACCTTTATGGGATGAAATATTTAGAGTGTCATATTGTTTACACTCCGATATGTACCGATTATTGGGTGAGATCAACTCAAATCTTTGTAAAACTGATTTAAATTGTGAAATAGTGAGAAAGTGGGGTCATTTAAATTACGGGCTCAAGAACGGTACATATCTATTCATATCCAATTCTTTTCTGAGTCCATTAGCAACACAAGTTTCCAGATTTGTATAAATAACTTTAAAAATACTTTGAAATTTTAATTAAAAAATAATAAAAAATTACAGAAAAATAAACTAAATTGATCAGAGCAGTGTTCTAAGACTCGGTCGAGGTCAGTAGGACTCGGCCGAGGTCAGTCGGACTCGGCCGAGGTCATTCAGACTTGGCCAAGTAACTCGATGAGGCGAGTTTTGGGGGAATAGGATGTACAAGGGATTTTTTAGTTCTATTAGATGAATACCTCAATTTTAAAACAATTGCGTTGAGAAGCCTTTTTCGTTTGTACTATGTAATAAATTGTAGGTAAGTGATTTCATGCGATGGTTGTATAGTAATATGATGCAACAACCTTCAAAACCCATGTTAGGACGATTTGTTTGATTCAAAATTTGAAATATACATTCTTTTCATTCTAATAAACAATTACAAAAAAAAAGAAAAATTTGAAAACGTAACTTAGAAAGTATTTTTATCATTATCATTGATGAAAGAATTGAGCTCAAAATTTTATAAACACGGGATGCGTCCATCAAGATGTATTAGCCTCTATAAATCAAACCCCCTCTTTCTACACAAATCGTAGGCATCCTTTAGATCAAAGATGAAATATCATGTGGCTGGTAAATCCCACGCCCTGTACAAGTCCACATGATGCAGCTAGCCAGCATCCTGCATCCCAAAGTCTTTTACATAACATTTATTAAAGATCGGATTACTGAAGCAAACGGTCAGGTTCCCAGTACAAGGCCACATAACACCCATGATGCAGCTAGCCAGCATCCTGCATCCTGAGTTCATCAAAGATCGGATTACTGAAGCAAACGGTCAGGTTCAGGCCTCCAAATTCAACGATTTTCGACTATAATCAATACCCGATGGGCTACCGAGTCATGGAAGGACTACAAATGTGATTGAGCTTTGTGAGTCCACTAGAAAGAACATGAAGGACCTCTTTAGGGAACTCATGACTAGGCTCAAGTGTTGTCCAGGTGTGCCTGGCGTGACTTGTGTGATCTCTGATGGGCTAATGAAGTTCACTTAAGAGTTTGCTGAGGAGTTTGGGGTCCCAATAGTGACCTTTTGGAACACGAGTGCTTGTGGATATTGGGCGTACCTTCAGATTCCTAAGCTCATTGAGAGATGATCCACACCCCTCACAAGTATGTTGCTTCCCTATCTAACCATTTGAGTAGACATCTACTTTATGGGCCTGTTTGATAACTGGAAGTAAGTTCATGAGTGGTAAGTTGGAAGTTTATGAAGAACTGTAAATTAGAAGTTACTTAAGAAGTTCATGGTTTCTGTGTTTGACAACCTCCCTGGGAAGTTACGAAGTTCATAGTTTCGGTGTTAGATAACTCCTGGGATATATCGTAAATATCTTATATTTATATATTTACATTGATAATAATTAAATATAAATATATAATATTTATAACATACTATAATATAT